TTTGTTGATGTTCAATTGACAGCAGGTCCAAGCATGTGTACAAGCTTTTATATTATTTTCTCCTTATACATGGGATACACAGTAGAGGTAGCCCTCCCTTTCCCCAAACTCCTCCCAGTGAGACTGGAACCTCAAAACACACACACAGAGTTTGATTCTTTAATCATGTATACGTCTCATTATTTTACAAGCTCAATTGTATTGAACTATTACATCATTTTAGAGTTTGTAGAGGAGACAACAGGTATGTGTGTGAGTATTATGCAAGGAAAGAAGGAGAAAGGGAGAGGAATCCAATATCTGCAATGGACATGCTGCCAAATTCCTATTTATTGGAAAACCGTGCACGAGCATTAAAAAAAGGCAGCTGAGCTCTAAGAAATCAACATAGCATTTTTCCCGAATTGCTATTGCTTCAAATTATCCATCCCAATATAGCCCAAGCTTTTATCCACAAAGTTTGTGAGCTGCATCAATAGATAAGTTTCTTACCCATTCACTCTTTAAAATCCAAAGTACACATTCTTATGAGAAATTCCGAAGCATGATAGCATATTTTCCTCAACTTGTCCTTTGTTATAAACTTCATCTTCCATACTTTACATATCATTAAGAGCATGGTTTGTCGGGCTTACAAGATGTGGGCCCTATAGAATGTGTGAATAATAATTATGTTTGACTAGCTTAAAAAAACTAAGCTTTGACAAACATGCACCAAATGTGACACTTGTGAATATTGTGGATTCTTCATCGTCTAATATTTTCTATAAACAATTTCATTTTTTGCCAAAGAATAAAGATTATTATAAAATATATTCTCCCTATAATGGAATGAAACGGTATGAAGGGTACCTTTTTTATCCCAATCAACACGGCATCGAGCACAATGTATCATATCAAAAGAAAGGGATGGATATGGTAATTGCTTTGAAGTAAATGAGCCAATCATTGCTGGAAGCCCTCTTTCGAGAGTTAGTTGAACCTGACTGCCAGAAGCCTCATAGTTTGCTATACATATGGTCAATAGTTGGTTTGAAAACAGACGTGCCCCAAAACTGCCATACCCACACTCTATATCCAAGATGTTTCGAACCTGAACATGGAATAAAAACATCATGCAATTATACTTTGGAATTAGAAAAGGAATTTCAATTATTACTGTAATTTATTACAGACATGACAACATACAGTAGATTGAGAAAAATATGAATAATCTGAGAAACTACCAAGGTGCAGTAAATCCATAAATATGAGCAATAAAATTGTGTAAAATTGGTGGAACAAAGAAAGTTCTGAAAGACATTATGGCAAGCTAATTATCGGACAACCAAATAGTTTTCATAATCTACTTGAATCTTATTATACATGAACCAAATTACCAAAATCAACAGCAAACATAGATAATGGATACTAAGCAAACGATTCCTATTTATCACTCATCTAAATATACCACAGTCCATGCATTTTCCCACTGTCTTGACTTAACTACACAAAAACATGAGTAGAGTATATCCACAGCATCTAAAATAAAATTTGCAAACTCAACGTCGTGAAAAAGCGTCTGCCTATCTAAGACATGTGACAGCTGGCTGATGGAATGTAATGCAAGTCAAATTGTGCAAGATATATTTGGTGATCTACATAAAACATTGATTTAGAATGCTGGGGCAACTCCACTCACATATTACGTTTTATTTATCCATTTCTGTTTTTTTTTAAAAATATATCATAACATCAGATCCAACAGCAATAAAGAGTGGGTAGGTAAATAACGATGAAAATGAATCAAAGCTGAGAAAGCAGATTTATTAATTTTGCAAATGAATATCCACTCACTCCAGCTTGTATAAAGTAGGATTCATTTCTTAGCCCAATCATTTCAGCAATTTGATGTGTGTAGTCTTCGACATCAAATGTTGAATATCCTGAACGGAAGGAGATCTGGTCTTCATCTAACATCATCATCCTGTATTTGCAACAGAAGGAAAGATAAAATTTAAGTTTTTAACATTATGCTTTTATTCGACAGCTGAAACTAGCTCTTCCACTCACCTCTTTGTCAAACTTCCTGAGGAGAGCACCTCCTGTGCTGTAATATTAACATTGGCGAACCAGATGACATCTCTTCCACTAGGCCACCTAAGGGGAATCTTATAATTCATGGGCGGAAGAACCAAGCAATGTTGGTTTGACCCATGTGCACAATGGCGGTTGTACTCTTCACCCTCAGAAAAGCCGGAAGCAAGATTTTCAGAAACATTGAAGCATGGTACAAAGTTTTCTGCCTCTTGAGAACAATATTCCAATTCTCTCAACCTCAAGGAACCCTGAGAGAGCTCACTGATCTCATACAACTCTGACACCAGTTGCTCTTGAAGCCGCCTATATCCATGAGATATTTGACCTCTGGATGACGATGATATGGAAATTGTCCACCAAAAGGATCCAGCCAGAGCAAGAATTACAATAACTATTAAACTGAATTTGAGTAAAGCAAGTGACAATTTATGCCGATTCCTCAGATTCCCAGGGCTGAAGGGATCAGATACAAAACCATTGTCACTGAAACTGTGTTTTGAAGACAAGCTATCCAGGGAGAGAAACCGAAAGAATCTGATAGATAAATATGTATTATGAGAACCATTTGTACGACTTCGATCCACATCTTCCTTTTCTATCTTTTCTTTCATCTGAGAGTCATCCCAGAAATCATTACTGTTTCCCAAGATTCGCACACCTCCCCCAGATGAACCTCGGTGAAGTGGCCTCGACATTTTTTCAACCTGAATAACCACACAGACACATCATACAGAAGTAAAGAGCAAAAATGGAAAATCTACAAATTATAACAATCACATCGATAAAGCTCTAAATATGATGAAAAAACAAATGGTACCTCGGGAAAGATCCCGTCCCAAATTACAGTCTAGATCCATTGAACTCAAACAATACACGATATGTTGAGACTGGAAAACAAGTATTTTGAATATCACTTCTAAAAACAGAGTTTTTTATTGCACACGTGAACTGAACTATAAATGGAAATAGAAAATGCAGAATTGAATTAAAACAAGAACAGTAAATTGACTAGATTCATTTATAACAAAATAAATTGCCAGTTCATGTAAATGAGTAATTAGTATTTACCTTACGGCCACCAAGTAAAAAAGAGTAACAAATAGAGTTGAAACAAAATTAAAATTGAGCTAATCTTCATACAAATGTAAAAAGTAGAACAACGCCCAGATATGAATATGCTGAAAACCTAGTTAGATCAATTACATATGATACAGCAAAAACTCTTGTTTTGAGCAAAGTAAGCAAAAACTCAAAACAACAAGCGAAGTAGTTGAAAAAACGACAGTTTTACCTTAAAAGATGCAAATAAACCAAGAAACCGAGGACTCCCTCAATTTCAGCCTACTCAGCTGCGGATTTTCATCAAATTTCACAAACCCAAGATTTGTCTTTTCTCAATCTCTCACTATTTCTTCCCCTTTCACACGCTTACTGATTCACAGAGTAACGATATTCTCTTCTCTTCTCTTCTCTTC